ATGGGATATAGGAAAAAGTTGGCAGGCAGGCAAGGAAAATAAATTTCCCTTCTTTTTGACCACATCTGGGTTTTTCAACCCCTTTCTTTTCTCGTTTTGAGGAAGAGTCATTTCTGGGTCTTTTAGACATACTCAGAAAAGCAAGTGCACCTGTGGATAACTACTAACCAACCCTTACTAACCACTACAGGGAGTCAAATTACCATTTCTATGCTACCCCTCCCTGCAGGTCTCCAATACTGGCTAATTTAGTAGAAAGAACTATGAGCTTCCTAGCTTTTCTGAGTTTATATAAAGCATTTTATTATTGGAGGGTTTTTTTTAGGTTGAACTAGCACTAACAGTGTGTCACTTTAATACATTTTGACAGATTGAGTCTCTCAGAGTTAGCAGCGTTTTCAGCTGTTCTTCAGAAATGATTCTGAAGGAAATGTGGGTTGTAGTTACTTCCTGTCATTGTCTCCAACATCACAGGGAGACACAGCCCAGCATTTCAGCAGTGGCTCTCACTAGCCTTGTAATTTCAGTGCTCCCCCAAGATGCCACACAAAGGGGATATTTTTAATGCATTTCGAAGGCAAAGACCCAATAGCTTCTGCAGCTATTCCATTTCTGCAGTTTAGAACCTTTATAATTCCACTTGAAAAGAGGACTAAGCGCTGGGTAGGAAAATGCACAACATGGAACCATTGAGAGATTTTTCACAATTTGTGTAGTACCTCCCCTCAACTTTGGAGAGGTGACTTCCTGTCACTTTCCTAGCAGGGGCAGAGTCATATGCATGAGGTTAGTTTCCTTATCTGTCACGTGTGTCACACAAAAGCAAGAAAAGAAAATGCTCTGGCTTGATAAGTTTAGACAGCAATATTAGTTTTTTAACCAAGATACATACATACAGGGGATATGTTTGGACAGAAACTTCTCTTATTCTCACTGGGGAACAGGATATATATTTCCTAGAAGCTTTGCAGCATAATGACATTCTGCTTTGTGTATTTCTACAGTGAAAGCTAATATGACAATCATGAAAATGAGGGACCAAGTGGAAAACAGTCAAAAGCTGCTTAGGTTCAATGTCATATTAAAATCTGGCTGAAAAATCTAAAACCAAAAAAAGGTTTATGTAAGGATATAACCAAAATTCTTCCTACATATTGAGTCCATTTAGAGTAGGCTAGGCCTGAAATATCATTCAATTCTGCAATTCTATCTAAGTCCATATCAGGATGG